ACTACTCTGCTGCTGCCTAGATAGAGAGGCAGGATAGGAAAGACATGATTTTGTGAGACTTCAGCTTTTGTTGAGGATTGGAACAAAAGTTATAAAAAAAATATTAACAGAAAAGGGACTGTTAACTGTACAACACACACAGGCGCGATCCAGAAGGGGGGGTTTGGGGTTAAAAAAAACAGCTCTGACTCGATTTTTTTATAGATATATATTTAAAACAATGTAAAAAAAAAAAAAAAAAACCCACCCCCATCCCTGCTCTGACACCCACAAATGATGAGAAGTTTACCAGTAATAATGTCCGCCTGTGCCCAACATTCGGACTGAGCCAGCTGGGCATGGGCGTCGCCAGGATTTTTTCTAGAGGGGGGCAAAAAAAATGTTTTGCCAAAAAATGCTTGTATTTCTCAACACATTCTCGATTTATCAGTTTTTAGGGGGCGGCAGGGACATTTCCCCCCCCCCCCAACTCATTAAATTTACACCACTTTGTCTTCGCGCTCTTTTTTTTTTTTTTTTTTTTTTTTTTCTTTTCTTTTCCAGGGGGGGGGGGGCAAGTTTCCCCCTTGCCCCTCCCTCGCGACGCCCATGCAGCTGGGGTACGTGATATTTGTGAACTATTATGTAATATAGTGTTCATGATTGTCTGATTTGTACGGAAGACGGATAGTGCCACTCAGTAAGTCTGAATAATTTGTACGTGTGAAAAATTTTTTTTTTGTACAGCGGCCGCCACTTATTACGTGTATTATGTGGCGGCCGCCACTTATCCTCTGTACAAAAAAATATTTTCACACGTACAAAAAAAATATATATTCAGACTTTTGTACGTGTGAAAATATTTTTTTTTGTACAGCGGCCGCCACTTATTATGTGGCGGCCACCACATATTAGTGGCGGCCGCTGTACACAAAAAATATGTTCACGTGTCCAAAAAAATACAGTCAGACTTATTGAGTGGCACTATCCGTCTTCCGTAGATTTGACCAGCGCTCCCATTGAAAGTATGGTACTGCAACAATTCCTGGATCCCCCCTGAACACTTACGTCATGATCATGACCAGATCAGGCAAAGTTTCGAGAAGGCTTCACGTAAGTACATCCCTTAGGCCCCCAAAAAAAGTCTCCGGTTTCTGGTATGGAGCTTGCCCCAAAAGTGGACGCGGCTTTTTTTTTTTTTTACCAGTTTTTTTTTTTTTTTTTTGGCTTCAAATGTCGGCTGATGACTGCAAATGGTGCCCGACTAAACTTAGTGCAAATATATGGTAGGCCAGAGAGGCCACATAAAGCTTATTCTCGATCATAACCCCATCTAAAAACACATAAAATTGTGCAGCAGTAGGATTCCAGTCAAACCAGTGAGTTTGGCGGTTTTCAGACATCATCTTGTATTGAAAAACAAACGTTTCATTTTGCCGACGCGCATGGCTGCGGCGACGCGCGCGCATACCAGAAACCGGAGACTTTTTTTTTTGACCTTATCAAGTGTATCGAGTCATGGAGTATGAAGCCCGGGAAGGGACAGGGTGGATTTTTTTTTGGAATTTCCTAATTCGTGGGAACGAATTAGTAATTCGTTCGCACGAATTACTATAATTCGTGGGAACGAATTAGTAATTCGTGCCAACGAATTACTAATTCGTTCCCACGAATTACTAATTCGTGGGAACGAATTAGCAAACTCCAGTAATTCGTTCGCACGAATTACCAATTCGTTCGCACGAATAAACTCCAGTAATTTCGTTCGCACGAATTACTAATTCGTTCCCACGAATTAGTAATTCGTGCGAACGAAATAGGAATTCTTGCGAACGAAATAGGAATTCGTGCGAACGAAATAGGAATTCGTGCGAACGAAATGGGAATTCGTGCGAACGAATTACTAATTCGTGCGAACGAATTAGGAATTCGTGCGAACGAATTAGCAATTCGTGCGAACGAATTAGTTATTCGTGCGAACGAATTAGGAAATTCCAAAAAAAAAATCCACCCTGTCCCTTCCCGGGCTTCATAATGGAGCTATAAAAACACATGCTATAAAAAAACATATGTGTTTTATAGCTCCATGATCGAGTCGACAAACCTTTACACAACAATCGTATGCCCACCCCCCTCCCCCCCCCCCCCCCCCCTTAGTCAGTTTTGTCGGCAAAATCATGGTGCTGTCGGCAAAATAGAAAATGAAGGAATGAGAAAGAAGGGGAAAGGAAGAAACAATGGAGAATGTAAATAATAAACACCGCTGCTCAAAACCTGGTTCTAAAACCCATGGCAAAAGATTGTACACTTTGTCATGTCGGCACGAGCTGCCCATGCCGCGCGAGGTCGCTTATATACGGAGGTTTACAGCTACATAGCTGTGCAAAACACTAGCACGTGCTCGCTCGCAGGCAGTTAAGAATTTAACTGATTCTAAGTGACCACTCAAAATCATGGATCAAGCTAAAGAGGGCAAATCTCGAAAGAAAGTCAAACTACAGTTTGATGTGACGTTGTGATATATCAGCTTTGATGACCGACCCCCATCTCCTTAAACAAGAGCACATTTCATTCAAGAAAGTGGCCAGGAGATGCCTCAGATTGCACCACACTGCACAGAGCATACAGATACAGATCATCTAGCCCCCCAAAAATAAATTCCGTAAAAAAAAAATTGCATTAGCAAAAAGAAGGATTTTGTTGACATGCGAACGGTCTGCCCCTAAAGAAGAAATAGCCTTGACAAGGGTGCATTAGTTAATATAGTGTGAATGATTTTAGGATTTTATTGGCGCTCCCCATTGAAAAATATGGCATGAGCCCCCCCCCCCCCCCCCCGGACAATTATATGTAAATAATTGTTTGGCAGTTTGCATTATATGTAAATAAATTTATTTGCCACTGCATTATTTATATATATTTTTTTTGCAACCTAATTATTTACATATGACTTTGGGCAAACTAGAATTATTTATATATAATTTATTTGCAACCTTATTATATTATATAATTTTTGCACACTTTTTTATTTATATATAATTTATTTGCAAACTTATATTTATATATAATTTTTGCACACTTTTTTTATTTATATATAATTTATTTGCAAACTTATTATTTATATATAATTTTTGCACACTTTTTTTATTTATATATAATTTATTTGCAAACTTATATTATATATAATTTTTGCACACTTTTTTTATTTATATATAATTTATAATAAATTATATATAAATAATTTTGTTAAATAATTTATTTACACATGGCGCCTCATATGTTTTTTACCCTCTGCAAGTTTTTCCTCATAAAACTCAGTATACCGATAAATCCTTGCCTAGCCCCAAACCTGCCATCTACCGATCATAAACAAAAAGATGCATATGGTCTTTTAATCTTTTATATCTGCCATTCTCTGTAACAAACAAATACAACTGCAAATATATCGAGAGCTACATCGTTTGGCGAGTTAGAACTATGTGAATATTTTTATGAACAGAATTCATCCACTTCCAGTGGAACCATTTGTTTAACTTGAACCCAAAAAAATCCTTTCTTGTTTTGTAAGTTTCAGTATACTTCAGTATATTTCATCACAGTGCATCCAGAATCCAACATTTCCGGGCCTTAAAGCGGACCCCTGGCCCTGTGGCCCCACGCCGTAAGGGCTCGGAAATAAAACAAAACATACACGACGGAATTTACTAAATGTAAGAAAGCAGCCTTGCAACAATAATAT